CCGTCTCTAAATTTAGCAACGGAAAAAAAATCAGTTTCTAATTTTGCAACCGAAAAAAAATCTGTTTCTAATTTAGAAACGGATTTTCAATTCCGTTTTTAATTTAGAGACAGATTTTTTAAATCCGTCTCTAATTTAGAAACGGATTGAATTCCGTCGCTAGAATTCCGTTTCTATATGGACATTTTTTTGTAGTGGGAGGTGATGGGGATGAAAATTTTAGATGGGGATGGGGATGGGAAAGCCAACATCCGCCCGACCTGTCCCATAGACATCCCTAGAATTAGGTAAAGATTATCTGGTTGGTTTGTAGAGTCTATTTGTCATTGTTATTTGTTTCTAGTTTTCCGGTTTTAAAATCCAAATCAAACACGGAAAAAAAAAAGTTTTTTTTTTTTTTACTATCAGTTTAATTAATAACCATAATTTCAACAGATTTGACTAATTATTGATTTATTGTATGACACATATATATCATATGAATTTAAAAAAAAAAAAAAAAAAACTACAGTATTATCTAACGAACCATGAGTTATCTTGTTTTAGGTATGACTTAAAACTAGTTTGGATTAATTTGACCAAACATAGTTCAATCAAGTTAGACATAAGTTTATTTGGCACTCAATAGCATTGCATTCTTGTCTGAAAAAACCTAGAGAATCTCATCTCTTCCTTATTATATTCTACCTATCCCAATTTCCAAAATCATCAATAACTTTATACTAAAGGCGAAATTAGAAAAGACATTTGTCATTTTTTGGTTAAAATTTTTTCTGCCTTTGTTTTCTTTCCTTTTTTTTTTTTTTTTTTTTTTTTTTTTTTTTTTTTTTTGCCAAATTATAATGACATCCATTTTATAACCTACAATAATACTTACACTACAAAAAAATTTCCATATAGAAACGGAATTCTAGTGACGGAATTCAACCCGTTTCTAAATTAGAGACGGAATTAAAAAATCCGTTTCTAAATTAGAGACGGAATTAAAAAAATCCGTCTCTAAATTAGAAACAGATTTTTTTTCCGTTGCTAAATTTAGAGACGGATTTTTTTTTTTCCGTTGCTAAATTAGAGACGGATTTTTTTTTCCGTTGCTAAATTAGAGACGGATTTTTTTTTCCGTTGCTGATATGAGCGACGGATTTTTATTTCGTCTCTAAATTATTTTTGAAACGAATTATGTAAAATATTACTTTAGAGACGAATTATGTAAACTAAAATCCGTCTTTAAACTAGTAACAGATTTTCAAATCCGTCTCTGAACTAGAGACGTTGAAAATCCGATTCTAAACTAGAGACAGATTTTAATTTCGTCTCTAATATTTCTTTCACTTATTATCAATTATGTGCGTAGAAGTAAACAAATATTATTTGGTATAGTTGGTAAGAGTTTCACTATGTGACTTTGAGGTCACGGGTTCAACTCCTACCTATTGCGATTCTTGAGATTGGGGATTTAAGGAGCCTTACATGCAAAGCCGAGTCAGGTTGACCCGAGTGAGGTCAGACCGAATAGCATCTAATTAAAAATCCGTTGCTAAGTTCAAGCAACGGAAAACAAATATACAACGTCGCTAGTCTCATTTAGTGACAACAGTTTTACCAACGGAGTAATTCCGTTTCAAAATTTGTCGCTACCTATATTTAGCGACAAAAAAGTAAATCTAGCAATGGATTTGATCTGTTGCTAAATGTCTATTTTTTTTGTAGTGTTATTTCCATTTTGACAACGTATTTAATCCAATTATACTCAACGTATTTTTTTTATACTGTATATAATAGGAAACTTTTAGTTACAAAAATACTAACATAGATTAAAAGTAAGGTATTGTAATGTATTGTAATATATTAATATCCAAGATTATTATAATATTATCATTTCTCCAACTTTTATCATTTGACAATAAAATTTATTTTAATTAAAAAAGAAAAATCATTTTGGTAGCATTATAATCTTAAAATTATATATAACTTTTATAAGAACAAACCGAACAAAATCATATATATTGGAAAATTCAATCTAATTACTATAAACATTTATGTGATTATTAAAAAAATAAAATTAAAAAATTAAAAACCCCTACTACTCACTATAAAAATATATTTAAGAAAGTTGATTACGGAATACTAATTATCTTAAATTAAAATAAATCCAACTAAATTTTCATATAATGCTGGTCAAAGTGTGTCACAAAATACAAGGGCAAATGTATATGAGTTTGTATATGGGTACTAACCTAAGCTAATATTTTCATTCATTTATATAAAACCTTATAGCTTCTAATTTCTATTACTATTTTATACAATCCAATTCAATAACCTTTACGTATTTGGTATTAGTATAAATTAAAATTCAAGCTATATATTCTATTACCTATTACTAAAACAAAACATGCTGACATTATTAAGGGACACATGTCAACTTCTCATGAAAAATTTTCCCACCTAAATTATTTTGACATAATTTTTTTTTTCTCTATTTATTTCCTTCTAAGTTTCAAGACTAAAAAAAAAATATAATAATTCTTTCAAAATTAATTAATGAGATTATGATTACACTTTTTTCTAATAAAGAATATTGACAACCATTTTAAACAAATAATAGCTATTTAATCCGTGCAACGCACGAGACTAAACTAGTTTTGTTACAAATATTATTTTTGGATAAATTATTGCTAAATTAACACCCTTATTTATAATTTATTTGTTGTAAACTGTAATTATGATTGTGTATGACACGGGACTTAACCTAGTTAAATCTAAAGTTAAACATCAGAAATCAAGTCAATATTAGATCCAAATTTATGGCATAACTAAATATCTACCTCATATCAATCTCATATACTATTATCTAAAAATTAACTGTCACCAAGATCCCATCCCTAATCTTGATTATAACAATCAAAGGATTCGATTTTGTTAAACATAATTTCAATTACTATTAATAAGATCAACAAATCTTGATTACATAATTGGTTATTACAATTAAGGATTTGGGTCGTATGTAAATCATGCTTTAATATCTTTAACAAAATTTGACATAAGACATCACACAATAAATGGGACCACGAAAAAAAAAAACACTTTAATTGCGTTGCACATAGATACAAAGTATCGGACTATGTTTATCGTTTATCAAGCTATATTCAACTTTTAAATGTAATAATAAAAAAAAAAAATAAAAAAAAAAAATAAAAAAAAAAAAAAGAAAAGAAGGAAAAGTAATTAAATAGTTAGGCAATAACTCGGTACTCTTTAAAATGTGGCGTACTTGAGTGAAGTTGATACTAGGATCCAATTCAATATTTCCCAAGATTATCTTTACATACGCTTACTTGGTCATGTATATGAATCTCTATTAAAGTATGTATTATTTTAATAATAATATTATTAATTAAATAAAGATAAAGACGAACATGTTGATTAATGCCAAAAATTAATACTAAAACACGATCCAATTTCCCCGAAACTAAACTATAGAGAGAGTGGACTGTACTAGTAGTGGTATTATTTTATGAATTTTTATCCCATTTGTTAATATTACACCGTATGATTTTATTTTCTTTAACATTTCTACATGAAATTAATAAACTATGACTCCTATTATATTATCATGAAATTTGATTCTGTAATCAACGCAACATTAACTTGTCTCGCACACATGAATATCAACTTAAGTAATTAGTGTTAGTTGCTTTAGTATTTAGGTATATCCGTATATATGTGAGGTTGATCAACATCAGAGTTTAATGTTGACATCCTCTAATAATGTTGACGTCCTCTAATTGGGGTTTCCATTGAACAATAAATTGGATATAAGGGCTTTCACCAAAAAAAAAAAAAAAAAAAAAAAAAAATTGGATATAAGGGTTATAACACTTATAAGCCCCTAAATTATAAAATCAATCTTCATTTAATTTTGTCTTGCTGTTCATTGCAAGAACACATATATGAGTATCAACAATAACTATTCAACGCAAAGTACTCCATATATTTATTGTTTGATTTTGTTGACTAATTGTAAGCTGCACATAATCTTTGAAACGAGTAAGCTGCACATACATTTAGAAACAACTAATTTTTAGACTCGGGTGATGCTCCGAGGTATTGCATTATTTTCATGATAGGAACGTCTTATTAAAATTTAATTTTGAAAGAATGACAAGTTATATGGTAATAGCTTAGTGGCTAACATGTTAAAATTTAAGCTTAAGATTGAGGGTTCAAATCTTATTAGTTCCATATTTTTGAACGTATGGAATGAAAAACTCGATTAAATGAGGAGAGCGCTAACGACACCTAAACTTATTTAGCAACGCTTTTAAATATATAGTATAGATTATAAACATGTATGTATAACATATTTACAAAAATATGATAGTTTCATATCTAATGCGTGCAATAATTATTATTACTCGTACTATATAGTATTTACTAAAGTATCTCTATTTCTCAATGGATGAACAATTTTGACTAAACATGTTTGTGAACTAATTACTTTTATCATTATTTATTTATACTTTAATAATTTTTTGACAACGTTATTACTGGTAGGAATTAGTAAAAAGTTAAAACGACACTTCCATTGAAATACCCCGGTAATACTAATTGGTATAATGACTAACTGATCTGACTATATACCTCATTATGACAATATGAAGATACTTGAAAATTTAATCCAAATACGCAAGATATATGCAAGATATACGCAAGGTATACATACGTAGTAAATCCGATAATTAATTATTTATAAAATAAAATCCAAAAGGATTATATTATGTAGAAGTAGGAAAAAAGAAAACATAAAAATAGTGTGTAAAAGTGGGTATTTGACCTGGAAAAAGTCCAAAATTTGCTTGATCTACTTAGCCACCACCTCTCTTTCCCCACTCCTCTACTACTCTCTCTTAGTTGACCGACTTCACTTCTCTTCTCCAACAACTCCTTTCCTTTCCTTTCCCCCCTTTTCCAAATTACTATATATATATATATATATATTCCCCTTCTTTCCCCTACTTCCCCACCACAACATTATTTACCTCCAACACAACTCTACTCAACACAACACAAACTTATTTCATTCTCTCACTCTTTCTCTTCACTTCCACCAAATCTCAATCTCTCCTTCTCTCTTTGTTGTTCATATGGCTCTTGAGGCGTTGAACTCGTCCAATCCACCGATGAAAACCAATGAGAGCCTCATGATGACCAAGAAGAAGCGGTCCAAGCGGCCTCGCCTCGACTCCCCTCCTTCCGAGGAGGAGTACCTCGCTCTCTGCCTTGTCATGCTCGCTCGCGGCGCCACCTCCGAAGAAAAGGAACAACAACAACAACAACAACAAAGGGTGACGTACAAGTGTGGAGTATGTGACAAGGAGTTTCTTTCTTACCAAGCTTTAGGCGGTCATAAAGCGAGTCACCGGAAACCGGCTGTCGTAGACGGTTTACATACCGTGATCGCAACAACCGCAACCGCCATGTCATCTTCCTCCACCTCTACTGGCGGTGGAAAATCACACGTGTGCACGATTTGTAACAAGTCTTTTCCTAGTGGTCAAGCCTTAGGTGGTCACAAAAGGTGTCACTATGAAGGTGGGATTAGTAATATTAATAACAATAAAAGTATTTCGGCTACCGCTACGGCAACCGCTAACGCCGCCGCGAACTCCACCGTATCTGACGGCGCCGCCGCTACATCCACCGTGACACATAGTCGTGTCGATTTCGATTTGAATTTACCGGCGTTTCCTGATAATCATTTGACCGTTGACTTTGATGGTGTTATCAAACAAGCTTGTTTTGATCAAGAGGTTGAAAGCCCACATCCATCTAAGAAGCCTCGCCCTTTTAGTCTTCATTGATTTATTAATTACTTCATAAAAAAATACTTTTTTTTTTGGGTATTTCTTGTACATAATAGAGAGCTTAATTCTTGTCATTATGATTATAATTATTATTATTGTTGTTACAGAATTATTATTGGGTGAAATATTTATTAATAAATGATACTGGTAGGAATTACATATTCATTTGATTTTTTATTTGATTTATTATCATGTAATTAAGAAATTTTTTGTTGGTATATATAAAATATTGTTCATTACAAATCAATAAAATCACATTAGTGATGCAGATGTGATTCAAATTTAAACATCGAGTATTGTTTTAAACTTTCAATATATTGGTTTCAAACTTTCAATATATATTAAGGTTTAACCAACTATCAGACTTTCAGTATTGTTTTAATGCTTTAACCAACTAAGATAATTGGCAAACAATCTTAATATGTATTTACGTATCATAGTTGATTAGTCGATTGTAGTCGGTATTAGAATAATTTAGGTTAATAATGGAGAATGGATGTATGTGGGCTGGAATAGAGTAACACTGTAACAGAAGGTAACCGCCTATGTTTCCTTAGTTGCCCATGTGATTTGATTACCTCTAATTTAGTGATGATGTGTTAATGTGTTAAGGCTCTTTTGACTTACGTGCACATGTTTGGCATGGTTTAAGATAGATTACAACTTTAAACACTTAGCTAACCTTTACTTTCCTGTTATCTTTTTTATTTTTTTGTCAAATTTTATTTATTATAGTATTCATTCATTCAATCTGTATGTGTGGTCCAACATATTTTACTTATTCCTTCCAATTTTCTCCATTTCTTAACCAACTATTGTTTGCCAATTACAAAGCGACACCTCACCCTTTTTGAAGCTTCTTCTTATAATTTTTTTTTTTTTTTTTTTTTTTTTTTTTTTTAATTTGTTTTTTCGAAGGTGATAGAAAGTAATAGCATGCCACCTGGTGTTTTCAAAACACGGCTCCAAGTTTTGTAGATACTATTTCGTTTTATTATTCCTTATTAGTCGGTTTATAATAGTCGTACAGATTAAGTCAAATTAATAAGATTCTTATAAAAAGCCGTTTGGTTTTGGGTAATCAGGAAAGGGAAAGGGAATCAACAAGAATGATTACCTTAGTTGTTGTTTATTATGTCAATTCAATCATTCCCTTTTCCCACTTAATTACCCCAAAATCCTCTACTCTCATTCCTTACCCCCCATGGTATTTGCATTCCCTTTCCTCTAAGCCACCAACACCACCACTGCTCCACCTGCACTAAGACCCCATCGTCATCGGAACCCTTTCCACCACTGCCCCATCAGCATCGCCGCTCTTTCGGTCTTCCCACCACCGTCCTGTCAGCACCACCACGCCCCACGACCCGAAATCAACCACCCTCCACCTTAAAAACACACCACCCACCAGAAATCTAACACAATACAAGCTTCGAGGGTGGTTGGGAAGGGTTTCGAGGGTGGTTGGGTGGTTAGGGAAGGGTTTCTAGGGTTTTTTCGAGGGTGGGGGAAGTTTTTCGGGGGAGGGGAAAGCTGTTTGGGAGGAGAGGAAGTGCGGCAAGGGGTGGGGCAGGTGCGGTGAGGGGCGGCGAGGGGTGGGGTAGGTGCGGCGAGGGGCGGGGTGGCCGAAGAAGTGGGATAGTGAAGAAAAAGGGGTTTGTGTAGTGGTGGTGGTGTGGTGGTGATGTGGTGTATTTTCATTCCCTTTGATTTTTAAAACAAACAACACCCTTAATTTGAGGGATTTTCATTCCTTTCTCTTTCATTCCCTTTGTTCATTCCATTCCGATTACCCCCTACGAATCAAACGACCCCTAATTAGTTTTTACCTCTTTTTCATAAGCATGAACTATCTTATTGTCAAATTAGAACATATGCAACATAAAAGTCAACATGTTATAAGTATTAAGAAATCGTGTTAATACGGGTTCTCAAAATTGCCTAGCTAGCTAGTGATCAATTGAAGTACTTCGTAATGTATTACTTCCTTTGTTCCTTAATATAAAAGTCGGCTCAAAGGAGAGGTGCTCTAGTGGGGTACGTCAAAGGGAGGAAATAGTCCCTTAAGAGGAAAAACAGTGAGTGAGGTCATAGTTACATCCGTGTTAGCTAAGTTAGAATATCCAAAGAATAAGGTGGTGTTAATTTAATTATTAGTTAAAGTAATGAATCTCTTCACCTTCAAAGTCCAGTCTGTATATGTGTGCTAAGTGTGAATGCAGTGTGAATGTGAATTGTGAATACTTGTATTTTTATAATTTGGGCAATATTAAGGTGGACAATTGCATGACATTAATTGGAAGCATCTTATTAGCTTATTGTTGATGATCAATTACCTAGTTGACTAACCAACATTACCTACTATGAGAGATTACTATATTCGGAATATTTATAATTTGCATATTGTTAGTTATAATTTTTCCATTATTAACCTCTCAATTTTATCGTTAATACTTTGTAATACGTTGTATTAGCATTATTTATTTCTACTTTTTTTTTCCATCACTTAACACTAGTTAGTGACATAAAAACAAAGTGTTTATTTTCTCTGACTAATAAGTTTTTTCCTCAAATTCTAGAGGTTTAGAGTTTGAATCTTGTTTAGTACTTCATAAGATGATAGGGCTTTTATTAGCCTCCCAACTTCTCTCGAAATTCATATACCACGAAGTATGAAAGTAGTACATATGGCTTGTTTTCTTTTGCAGCTAAGTTATTGTTTAAGGATCATATATATTTTCGAGCATTGTAGAAAAATGCAGGCCAACTCCCAAGTTTGGATAGAGATAAACTAAATTTAGAATATCAAAAAGTTACTTTTACCATTTTAGGATCTAGATCATGATTTTTAATTGCATCTATGCAAATGATGTGATTGTGAATTTGTGATACGTTAGTGTTTAACATTTTCTATATTTATAATTTGTATTTTACTTTTCCTAAAAATGAGCGAGACAATATTAAATCTAGGTCATTAAAATAGTTTATCTACGGAACCCAAAATATAACAAGTGTCAATCACCCATTGACTAATTAATTAAAAATACCCAAAAAAAAAAAAAAATCTTCAAAAAAATCTACGCTTAAAACATATTGTTGGTGAGTTGTGATTGAGTGTAGTGGAGAAGCAGGGTGAATAAACAGTACAGATAAGATTGACAAGAGTAACCAGTGAGTATTAAGCTAAGGACAGGTGCCAAATCTTATTCGTATAAAAACTATATATTATAATACTATAATAAAGTTTTTATTTATTATGTGGATAAAATTGTGACCTTATTTTATGGGGTTATGATGTGTAAGTATAGCAAAGCTTAAGGCTTTGAGTAAACGACACATGTAAAGAGTTATTTTATAAATTAAAATTAGGTGATGTGTTTTTATAATAGATTAGTGGAGGAGAAAATGCAAGAGTATACTCGTAGTATTAAATAATTAATAAGTAGTAATTATCTTAAAAGTTTAGATTAATTAAGGTTAAGGGTTTGCGTGTAGGTGATGATTATAGAGGTGAGGTTTGAGGGGAGTGTTGCTTCTGATGTTAGTTAGCTTAGAGAGTAGAGTTATACGGTTACGCGTTAGAGTGAACACTTGTTGCAAGGTATAGAAATGAAACTTTTTGAGGCAATGAATTACGTAAAAGTTATGTTGGTAAGAACTTTGGTTAAAAAGGTTAAAAAGTAATTAATTGGTAGGGGATAAGTGTAGGGTTTGTGAAAAAACTAGAAAAATCAAAATCGAATATGAAATTTGAAAAATTTGAACCGGAAATATTATTGTAGGTAATTGAATAACATAAAACTATTAGGTTTATGATCGGATTTTTAAATGTGTGAAAATAAGAAACGTGTGGATAATCAAAGTATCTGAATATCACATGTACATAAGATATACGAAGTATGTATTGAATGTTTATATTAATTGCAAATGGGGAAAAGGTAATCAGACGTTGCAACACATACTTGTAAAGATAAGAAAATACGAGTTATAGTACATGTGTTACATGTGTATGTCCATAATTACAACATAGAATTTAACAATTAAAGGAAATAATTTAAGTGTCAACATAGTTGCAAATTTAAAATAATCATTATGCAACAGAATAAAACTCAATATTCTAATAGGCAAGTACCAAAAGTTTTGGATATACTTCGTATATGGTTTAAAGCTGATAACAATGCAACTTGAAAGTAGAGGTTTCAAAAACTAATCTAATCGACTTGATTGGAAATCAATCAAAAAAAAATCAAATTCTGATTTCGACTTGTATATATACAATAGTTTAGTATGATTCAAATTTAAAATAAACTCGACCTCACCAAACCCGGCTTGAACACCCGAATTGACACATCTACTCGAAAGCAACGGTTACCCAAAATAACTTTCTGGAAAGTAACTTAACTTGAATTTGTACACCCTTAGATAGGAGAGTGTAAGATGAATAATCCTTTAAGGGCTGCCATTCCATATTCACAGTATATATATAAGAGTATATACATGACCTAGTTTCCTAATATACAAAGGATAAATATGGACAACTATTATTTACATAATAATGTGTCTAACACACCCCCACAGTCGAAGTGGAAGGAGCACGGACGGTTAGACTAGAGTGGAAGTCCACAAACAAGGGTTGATGAAGACCCTTGGTAAATATGTCGGCATACTGAAATGAAGACGGAACATGAAGCTAGAACACGGATATGGCCAAGAGCAACCTTTTCCTGAACAAAATTGTGAGGAGGGTAGCCCATCGTTGGGGATCCCACTTCCTCTATGCCTAAGGCCCTTTAAAAGCCTAGGACTTTACACTTTTGAAGGTGTGTTAGGATTTGAATTACTGACTGTTTGGGGGACCTTGAATTAGAATTGATTCTATATAGAGTCGAGATGGTCCTATAACTCCGTGCTGATGTCCTTAGGTTTCGCAGCTTTCGAATCAATGTGATCCAGTACATTATAAGCCTTTGCGGTGTTGCTGAAAAGTGTTGCCCAAGGTGTATATTGAACCTTGTCCACGTCCAGAGTCAATGGAATGAGAGTTCGAATATTTGAGACACCCAAAGCAGGATGATAAGAGTTAGTAGTAGGATCCATGGGAGGAAATGAGAGAGGAAGAGAGTGCTGAGACATAAGAGAATAGGATAGGTAAAGGCGACGACTAGGGTTA